GACCTACAGTGAAAAAATTAAAAACTACTTGGGAGGCTCAGGTAGGAGGATCACTTGAGCCCAGGAGGTAAAGGCTACAGTGAGCCATGATTGCGCCACTGCACTCCAGCTTAGGCAACAGAGCCAGATCCTGTCTTAAAAAAATAAAAGTAAAAATAAAAAACTGGCATTGCATAGTTATTAAAATGCACATTCAACAGAGTCTTCAGAGTCTTTGAGGAAAAGATAGTTGTTTAACATTATGAGCTTCTCCATAAAGATCACTATAGCTAGGGAAGTGATAAAAGTCACCTTGTATGACCTCACCTTTGGTGACATAAGTCAGCATGATGGCCTTGTGCAGAACTCAGTGAGGTAGCACTCCCATTTTGGGAATACCTTGCACTCTCCTTGTTCACTGCTAAGTGTGTTAGTGTGTTCTTAACAGCCATAGAGGTAATAGTGTCTCTGTGGGATTGATCCATTGGCTTCATGGTTTTTAATTTGTTTAAATGATTGCTTTGCAGGGAGTTGATGAAAGTGGAGATGTTTTTAGAGCCACCTATGCAGCATTCAGATGTTCCCCTATTTCTGGTCTACTGGAAAGCCATGGGACACAAAAAGTAGGTTTTGATATTTTTTTCCATAGGCAGTTAGTAAGAGCATCATGTAAATTGTCCAGAAGTGCTTTATTTGATTCTACCCATTTTAGCTTGTTTAACCTAGAGCAGTGCTACTCACAGAGCCAGTGTGCACATGAGAGAAGAGCCTGCCTCACTTGCAATGTGCTGCAGCAGATAGTCTTAGTATGAAAAAATGGTCAGCTTAACAAACGGCACCCTTAACAGTAAAGACCACAGACTGCCAGTGCTTACAGTTGTACTGCACTGATGGAGACAAGAGTTTTGTCTATCAGCCGTAGCCAGAAAAACCTGCCATTACTCAAAAATAGCTTGGTATTCATGGCATAGTCAACAGCATATCTTCATGGGTGACAGATCCCTCCAGCTACTATGACCCTCTTAAATGTTAATTCATTTCTAGACCTGACATGTTCCCTTCAAATGTCTCCTAATAACACTAGTCATCCACTTGGCCTCAGTAATATATTTTTGCATTCTAGTTACTGAAATTTATTGGCTCATTTATTCAGACACTCAGACTTACAGTAAGTTATAGAATGTAGCTGTGAACTCAGAGCTGATTGTAAAAGAATCTTGAAGCAGCTATAGCAGTTGTTGCAAACTGCACTTTACTGGGTCTGTATAACAGGCTTTCAGACTGTTTCTCACTTTTTTTGGAAAGACATACAGTTCTACATGTGTAGTTTAGTTAATTTCCCAAACTACAACAGAAGCAAAGCAGAAGAGCAGGGGATAGACACATTGCTCAAATAAAGTTCAACATATGAGAAAGGATTGTAAAAAGAAAGACATCCTGTATCAATGGATCAGAAGACTTAACCTTTTAAGACATCAGTGCCCCCTAAATTGATCTATATATTCAGCACAGTCCCAATCAAAACCCCCGCTGGGCCCAAAACAGTCTATAGTCAATGCTCTTCCTATCAAAATACCAGCGTCATTTTTCAGAAAACTGGAAATAACTATGCTAAAATTCATATGAAACCAAAAAGCCTGCATAGCAAAAGCAATCCTAAGCAAAAAGAACAAATCTGGAGGCATTGTGCTACCTGACTTAAAACTATACTGTAAGCCTATAGTAACCAAAACAGCATGGTAGCAAAACAAGAACAGACATATAAACCAATGGAACAGAATAGGGAACCCAGAAATAAAGCCACACACCTATAGCCCTCTGCTCTTCAACACAGTCGACAAAAATAAGCAATGGGGAGAGGACTCCCTATTCAATAAATAGTGCTGGAATAGCTGGCTAACCATGTGCAGAGGAATGAAACTGGACCCCTGCCTTTCACCATATACAAAAATTAACTCAAGATGGTTTAAATATTTGAACGTAAGACTTCAAACTATAAGAATCCTAGAAGAAAACTTAGGAAACACCATTCTGGACATTGGTCTTGGGAAATAATTTATGACCAAGTTCTCAAAAGCATTTGTAACAAAAACAAAAATTGACATATAAGATCTAATTAAACTAAAGAGCTTCTGCGCAGCAAAAGAAACTATCAACAGGGTAAACAGACAACCTACAGAAGAGGAGAAAACATTCACAAACTATACATCTGACAAAAGTCTAATATTGAGGATCTATAAGGGACTTAAACAATTGAACAAGCCAAAAACAAATCAGCCTATTAAAAAATGAACAAAATACATGAACAGACACTTCTTAGAAGAGGACATACAGCCAACAAACATGAAAAAATGTTCCACATCACTAATCATCAAGAAATGCAAATCAAAACTGCAATGAGATACCATCTCACAGCAGTCAGAATGGCTGTTATTAAAAGTCAGCAGCATGGGCAACATGTCAAAACTCTATAAAAAATACAGAAATTAGCTGGGCATAGTGGCATGTACCTGTAGCCCTAGCTACTTGAGAGGCTGAAGTGGGAGGTTGGCTTGAACCCAGGAGGCAGAGGTTGTGGTGACCCAAGATTGTGCCACTGCACTCCAGCCTGGATGACCGGGTAAGACCCTGTCTCCAAAAAAATAAATAAAATAAAAAGCCAAAAAACAATAGATGTTGGCAAGGCTGCAGAGGAAAGGGAATGCTTATACGCTTAGTGTGAATGTAAATTAGTTCAGCCACTGTGGAGAACAGTTTGGAGATTTCTCAAAGAACTTAGAAATACCATTCAAACCAGCAATCCCACTACTGGATATATATCAAAAAGAAAGCTAATTGTTCCACTAAAAAGATACTTGCACATTCATTGCAGCACTATTCACAATATCAGATACATGGATCAATCCACCATTGATCACCATGCTCACCAATGGGTGGATTGGATAAATAAATGGTAGAATGGTAAATATGTATCATGAAATACTGTGCAACTATAAAATCAAATCAAATGCCTTTGTAGCAACGTGGATACAGCTGAAGGTGATTATCCTAAGCTAATTAACACGGGAATAGAAAACCAAATACCATATTTTTTCATTTACAAGTTAGAGCCAAATATTGGGTACTCATAGACATAAAAATGGCAGCAATAGAAACTAGGGACTACTAGAAGGGGGAAAGGGGCTGAAAAATTAATTATTGGGTACCATGCTCAGTACCTGGGTGATAGGATCTTTCATACCTCAAACCTCAGCATTGTGCAATATACCCAGGTAACAAACCTGCACATGTACCCCTGAATCTAAAATAAAAGTTGAAAAAGAAAAAAAACCGGAACAACAATAGGCCCATAGTGGTAAAGATACAGGTGTCATGCATCTATTTTAAAAAGAAAAAAAGAAACTGAAATTAATGAGCTAAGCAGTCATTGAAGTGTGGTGAAAATAACAGAATAAATCCGAAGAAAGAAGAAAAAAAAATGTTCCAAAGCAAAATATAATCAAAACAAAGAAACAAGAGAAGATTAACATATCCCAAGGTGCTTTTTGGAAAAAAATAATAATACAGACAAACCTTTGGCAAAATTGACCAAGGCAGGAAAAAGGCAATTTTACACAAAAAGCATTTGTGAAGGGAGAATCTAGCAGAATGAGATTAATCAAAAATTCAAAACATTTTTAAAAGAATTAAAGATAAGGCTGGGCGTGGTGGCTCACACCCGTAATCCCAGCACTTCGGGAGTCCGAGGAGGGTGGATCACAAGATCAAGAGATCAAGACCAGCCTGTCCAAGATGGTGAAACCCCATCTCTACTAAAAATATAAAAATTAGCTGGGCGTGGTGGCACATGCCTGTAGTCCCAGCTACTTGGGAAGCTGAGGCAGGAGAATCGCCTGAACCCAGGAGGCAGAGGTTGCAGTCAACCAAGATCGAGCCACTGCACTCTAGCCTGGTGACAAAGTGAGACTCCATGTCAAAAAATAAATAAATAAATAAAAATAAAGATAAATGTGTTAAAAAAAGAATGACTTAAGTATCAAAGACTTAAAATCCCTCTTTCATGAATCCCTCAAATATGTTTTCCTAAATGGTCTTTATGGGTTGTCCTGAGAATTTATATACCTTATACCATTGTATAACTTTGTCCCCTGCCCCACAAAAAATTACACCAAAATCTAAGCACACTTTATTCTTTGTTCAAAGATTTAGTGCACAGTTGTAATTAGAATCTAAATTTAGTTAAATAAAACATAGAAAAACTAATTTAAAAATAAATCCAGCTGGGTTTTGTTTTAAAATTGAAACACTGATTCTGCAATATATGTAGATATACAAGAGACCTAGAATAATCAAACAATCTTGAAATAGAACAAAGTTGGAGGATTTACACTTCCTGTTTTCAAAGCCTTCTAAAAAGCCACACTACACAAAACAGTGTGGTATTGACAATTCTGTAGAACTGTGGAATAGGATTGAGAATCCCAAAATAAACCATAATATTTATAGTTAATTGATTTTTTTTTTTTTAAATAAGGGCACCAAGGCACTTCAATGGGGAAAGAATATTTTTCAACACATAGTGCCTGGGAGAACTGAATAACCACATGCAAAAGAACTAGTGTAGACTCTTGCTGTATTAGGTTTCTCCAGAGGAACAGAACTAATGGGATACACGTATATATGAAAGGGAGGCTATTAGGGAGAATTGACTCACACAATGACAAGGCAAAGTCCCATGATAGGCCATCTGCAAGCTGGGGAAGAATGAAGCCAGTAGCAGCTCCATCTGAGTCTAAAAGCCTCAGAAGAGGGAAGCTATCAGTGCAGCCTTCAGTCTGTGACCAAAGGCCCAAGAGTTCCTGGTCAAACACTTGTGTAAATCCCAGAGTCCAAAGGCTGAAGAACCTGGAGTCTGATTTCCAAGGACAGGAGGAACGGAAGGAAGCATCCAGCCCGAGATAAAAATGAAAGCCAAGAGACTCAGCAAGCAAGATTATCCCACCTTCTTCCACCTGCCTCCTCCTAGCCCACTGGCAGCTGATTGGATGGTGCTCACCCACATTAGGGTGGACCTTCCTTCTACTTCGCAGACTCAAATGTCAGTCTCCTCTCTTGAACACCCTCACAGACATCCAGAAACAATACTTTAGCAACCATCTAGGCCTCCTTCAATCCAATCGAGTTGACACCTAATACTAACCATCACTCTTACCTAGTAGCATATACAGAGATTTCACTGAAAATCAACCATCAACCTTAGACCATAAACATTAGACCTAAAGCTATAAAACCTCTAAAAGACAACATAGGAATAAATCTTCATAACCTTAGGTTAAGCATTGGTTTCTTAGGTGTGACGCCAGGAAAGCACAAGCCACAAAAGCGAAAGTAGGTGAATTATGAAAATCAAAAACATTTGTGCATCAAACAACACAGAATAGGGACAAAAATTTGCAAATGATATGTCTGACAAAGGACCTGTATCCAGAATTTGTAAAGAATTCTTACAACCCAGTAAAAAGACAGGTAATCCAATTTTTTTAAATGAGCAGGGGATTTGAATAGACATTTTTCCGAAGAAAACATACAAGTGGTCAATAAACATATGAGAAGATGCTTAGAATTCCTAGTGATTAGCAAAATGCAGTCAAATCGAAAAATGAAGTATCACTTAACACCCACTAAGATGGCTGTGAGTTAAAAAACAAAATAACAAATATTGGTGAGGATGTGGGGAAATTGGAACCCTCATACATTACTGGTGGGAATGTGAAATGGTACAGCTGCTGTGGAAAACAATTTGGCAGTTTCTCAATAAGCCAAACAGAATTACTGTATGACCCAGCAATTCCATCTCTGGATGTACACTAGAAAAGTTGAAGTAGGTTTTAAAACAAAAACTTGTGCACAGGTGTTCACAGCAGTGTTACAGAAGACAAAAAAGTGGGAATCACCCAAATTGATGGATCAATAAACAAAATCTGGTATATCTATAAAATGAAATATTATTTGGCAGTGAAAAGGAATGGAGTTACTGGTACATGCTATATCCAGATGGATAAACCTTGAAAACATTATGCTAAGTGAAAGAAGCCAGTCACAGAAGCTCACAGGTGTGTGGTTTTATTTATATGAAATGTCTAGGATAGGCAAATCTATAGAGAGAAAATAGAGCATGCTTGCCAGGGGATTAGCTGAGATACTGAATGTTAAAGTTCCCAGTATGTGCCTAGGGTGTAACATGCAGTAATAATAGTTTTCTCCTCCTCTGTTCTGTTGTGATTTTGGTATTTGAAGAGATGTAGTTGGGATTTCATAGTTCTGTAGTCCCCAGTGGTGGTTTTTACTCTTTCTGGTGGTTTTTAGCCCTTCCGTTGGTTTTTACCCTTTCCTTCCTTCATCTTCTCAGAGTCCAAGTCCATAGTGGTGTAATTCTCTAGTTAGATGCTCTACTATCCCTGACCAGTCCTGCCTTTGTCTTTAGGCTCCCAGAAGCCATGAGCTCAGGCTTGCTGGGTTATTATGTTTAAGGTTCTGTTTGGGCAGAAATTAGGCCACTTAGGTGTTTTAATGTTTGAGTTGACTCAGAAGTCCTGATTCATTGTTAACCTAATTAGTGATCAGTATTATCAACACTGAATTATTTAATAGAGCTAAGGCTCTTAATATTGGTAAACGGTATAGTGTTTTTAAACATTACAATTTTCTCATAATTGAGGTTTTTATAGATTATACACATGCAGAGTGTGTTTATCACTGAGCTGTGTGGCCAGGGTCACTGGCTGTGACTGACATTTGGAATCTAATCATAATGCGAGCTGCCACTGTGGAGCGTCTGACATTTGTCTTGCTCAGCCTCCTGCAGCCGCCATCCTACCACTATTGTCAGTCTTCTGCAGCTCCCGGGCCACTGCCAGGCCTTTGTCCTGGTACTGCTTGGCCGGCAGAGGGTTCCATAAGCACTCAAGAGAAGATGATTGAGGGTCTGTGGTTGGACCTTTCTCGTGTAGGTCTTGTGCTTGACAGCTTTAGTGCTTTCTGTTAACATTTCCCCCGACAGTAGAGCATTTATTGTACATTTTAAGGAATATGTTATATAAAGCCTTAAGCAAAAACGTGTTTTAGATCTGGTATAGTAACAAACCCACTAGAAATGAAATTGTCCAAATTCTTTCAATTAGTGGGAAAACGAGCCAATGCAAAAGCATTTGTTCTTTAACTTTGTTCATACCAAATCTTTGAACTGGTAATCTAGCTACCACTGCATTTAATGATCAGTTGTCTAAATTTCTCTCTGTATGTATTTTGTAGGTCTCCATCACATTTTTGCCCAGAGGTAGAGGGGATTATGCCCAGTTTTGGGATGTTGAATGCCACCCTCTTAAGGAGCCTCACATGAAACACACGTTGAGATTCCAACTCTCTGGACAAGTGAGTAGTACACTGAATTTAAGTAAATTATTGTGTGTATTTTAAAAACAGAAAGGTAAATTGACAAGAAAAATTGGTCTGAAAATGCAGAATACAGCCCCATGACCTTAATTTTCTGGTTTGTCTTTATTAATTGGCATGTTTGAGGTCTGGGTTTGGCTGTATTGTTCATATAGCCCATGAAGCCCATGTTTGACTTAATTACATAAGAAACCCTGTGTGTGTGCGTACACACATCAAGGATGCACGTGGGCACTTAAGAGAGAGGAACCAGCCAGGCACAATGGCTCACGCCTATAATCCCAGCACTTTGGGAGGCCAAGGCGGGCAGATCACAAGGTCGAGAGATGGAGACCATCCTGGCCAACATGGTGAAACCCTGTCTGTACTAAATACACAAAAATTAGCTGGACGTGGTGTCGTGTGCCTGCAGTCCCATCTACTCAGGAGGCTGAGGCAGGAGAATTGCTTGAACCCAGGAGGCAGAGGTTGCAGTGAGCCGAGATCATACCACTGCACTCCAGCCTGGGCAACAGAGCGAGTCTCCGCAAA